TGCTGAATCCCCAGAGCCGCCTGTTTCCTGTATTATATTCCCAGCATTGGCAAGATGTCCCGTGCTCTCCTCAGGGGGAGTTGCTTGGCCCTGGACCCCACCTGAGGCTTTGTCTTCCCTTTTTATATTCGCATCCTCTGCCTCTTCTTCCAGCCTGAGACTGTGTGCCTGGCTTTTGGTTCCTGGTAGAGTCTTGTCAGGCTGGCTCTTGTCACTCTCTATTTTAGCATTTTCTCTGCCTGGCACTGAGTCGTCCTCTCCTGGCAAGGGCAGGCCATCCTCAGAGCCAGCCAACTCAGCGCTACATGGGGTTTGCATGCTGCTTTCTTCCACAGCTTGCTTCTCCTCACTCAGTTCTTCTTTCTCAGCCCCTTGGCTTACAGGATCTGGACTGGTTACCTGGGCACTGCAGGGAGGAGACTCTGCATTCAGGTTTATGGCTGTGTTTAAAGACTCGTTTTGTGGTGTCGTCTCATCCACTTTCCTCCTCTTTATGGCCGCATCAGATGATTCAGGCTCCATTAAGCTGTCCGTACCCACGCTCTCTTCTTCAGGCATCACTAGGGCATCGCATTTCTGCAAGGCTGGTAGTGTCTCTGTGTTCTCTTGATTGAGAACACATTCTCCTAGGTTATGAGAAATCTTCTCAATGTCAGTGGGACTTTTCAATAGACCCGTGCACTTGCTGTTTTTATCCAGCTTTCTTTTCTTGCTTTCCTTTAGATAGTCATTCTCTGCTCTATCCCCCAAGCCAAGAGCCTCAGTACCTGGATCCTTCTCTTCTAGCTGGGGCAGCAAGGCTTGCGTCTCTTCTTCACCGTCTCCTTTGTCTGTAGCGTGATCACATTCACTTAACTTCTCCGATTCGCGTTCCTCAGTCACCTTTCTGGTCTGCAAGTCTGCAGCATCTCCAGCTCTCTCTTCCCCATTTAGTTTGCTTTCCTCCTTTCCTCCTGCCTCTCTCTCCTTTCCTCTGACGGGCTCCTGTTCCTCTTCAGTCTTTTGGCAGCACTGAGACTTTGATGGCCTACATCTGTACTTCAGGAGCTTCTGATGTGGCCCCCATACAAACCTATTCTGAGGTTTAAAGTGCTGCCATGCATAATGGATCAGTTCTCTTCTCTTTTCCTTGTTTCGGATGGTGAAGAGGAAATAGTCCAAGGCGCTTCTCTTAACGTTGGGGAGCATCTTCCAAACAAGGGTTTCTCTTAGGAAAAACTGAACTAGACATACTTGATAGTGTTCGTACCCCATCTCACCTAGACACTTCAGGATGCGTGTTATCCGCAAGTTATTGTGGCTAAACCTGAGAAAGAATGAACAAGAATAGAGACAGGCAGGAAAATCAAAATCGCTAGGGAAAAACAACATAGCCTAGGCTTACAAAAAACCCAGGTATGGTGAACATTATTAATGTTGGGTGGGTCTTTACCAGCATCTCGAAGGGAAGATCAAGTATATACCAGCCTGTTTCTAAAGCACCTATTGCTGCAGTATCTACCCATCTATTCTGGTCTTCAGCCATGTTCTCCTATCTGTGCTTCAAATGCCCCATTAAACAGCATCACTGATTAAACAGTATCCCAGCTCCAAAAGAGGGTTGTGCCTTCCTCAGTACTAGGAGTGATTCTCACTTCACAGATCATTTATTAGAAAAGACATTATACACTCATATCTCAATAATGCCACTCACAATGAGCCCAGGGTGGATAAAAACCAATGTTGTTTTTTTTTTTTAAATTGGTTTTTATTTCAAATCACATTTTTTAAATGTAATCATTTACATTTTTTTTAAGATGCTTTAAAAAAAAACAAACAACCCATATAGTTTTAATTTAAGATAAGTTAAAGCTCAAAGATATAATCATGGAATAAGGATTATAACTTCTAATGATATGCTATTTGAGACAATATCGTCATGTAACCTTTTTAGAAGTTTTATAAATAGGTCACAATAAGACGCGGACTATATTAGGGGTCCAACCTTATGGGGTTCTCAGAGGCTCCTCTATAGATTAGTACAGATGAAAGGAAAACACTCTACCCAATGGGACTCAATGGGATCTACCAGACTGGACACTAAGCATCTCTGTGATGCTTCAGTTCTCAAACTGTGGATTTGTGTCTCCAGAGATCCTAGGCAGACAAGGTTCTTTGGGTAGATGTGATCTCTTTTATTAGACCAACTAAATAGTTGGAAAAATTGTTCTTTGCAAGCTTTTGGGCACAAATACCCTTCTTCAGGCATAGGGAGAGTTTCTTGTCTCCAGAGATAACATCCTTGTTAACAGCAGTATATGGAGATGAGCGATAACAGACCAGATTACCCAACCATTAGCCCTGTTGTCTCTCTGCAAGTCTGTGTACACACAGTCAAGCCCTTACTTTTCTCTAAAAGTGCAAAGTTTCAAGAAGTTAAATGAATAAGGGATATCAAACAACAAGAATGCACTTTTTGTAGAAAACAATGATTAAATTGAGGCTTCCTGACTAATCAATCAATTTGATTTCAATCAAATCCACCTCGAACAAGCCTACTTTAGACAGCATGTGCTCAACAAAGGATGTTAAAGCACTTCACAAGTATTAACTGAGCTTTTTAAACACCCTAAGTATTAGTAAGTATTCTTGTTAGATACATATCAATATCTCCCCCCCGCCAAATTACTGGAATTTCTAGTTCTGACCCCAAGTTTCTTACTGTACCTAGAGATCTGTGCCTTTTTGATGGTTTAATTTTAAAATTAACACAGAATACACTTCTCAGCAATGGTTAGAAAACAGAAAGCCTCCTCAGTACAGAAGAACTGAGTTGTGTGTAAAAATTGTTCCAATAGTTTCTGAAACCACAGCTGAGAACACTCAGTCCTGGCAAACCCTGCAGTAGCTCTATGAGAGTGTTTATGCCTATACTGCAGGCTCAGGGAGATGAAGATGGATATCACCTTTGGCAAGTATTGCCAAAGCAGTCGCATATAATACATGGTAATTTCAGCTGGGGCTTCCAAACAATGCAAAGGAACAAAATGCTCGACAGCCTGCCGAGTCAATGGCCGGGCTAGGAAAGGAAGGTCCATGCTCTCAAGTAACTGGCTCCCACCCCTAAGGTTAGACCATGCTGCTCTGGTAGCAGAGGAAACCTCCATACCTGAACAGCCAACCAATTTCCTTGGCTCCGTGTGATCTGTCCTCCTGTTGTAACAGTAAGCATAGGAAAGAGCCACTTAATGTAAATTGGGTCTTACCTGTCCAGGTTGTGAAATCTCTCCTCCCAGTTTTCTGCTCTTTCGACTTCCCCAGTTTCTCGATTTGCCAAAGTTATTCCATAAAACCCCAGCATGAGTTCGTACGCTTTTATGAATCTTTGCATAACTTCCTCTGAATTCTTAAAGGCCTGAAAAGTACAAGAGATGGAGTTTGCACTTAAGGCAACCTAAAAAAGGGTTGGAAACCACCTGCATTAGTTCGTTAAGGCACTTCTCAGTGATATGTCACACACGTAAGTGCGTAATATTTAAGACCTATTGGGGATGCCCATTACCCATGTCGCCAAGCACATGATCTA